CCTGGCTCCTCCTTCTTGCCTTTTTTGAAGACTGGCGTGACATGGGCTTTCTTCCAGTCCTCAGGCACCTCTCCTGATCTCCAGGACCTTTCCAAGATGATGGAGAGTGGCCTAGCGATAACATCCGCCCGCTCCCTCAGCGCTCGTGGGTGCATCCCATGGGGGCCCATGGATTTATGGATGTCAGGTTTGGACAAAAGATCTCTAACCTGATCCTCCTCCACCAAGGGAGAGTCTTCCTTTCTCCAGCCTTCCTCTCTTGTCCCCACGGTCTGGAATTCCTGAGGACTGGCCTTAGCAGTGAAGTCTGAAACAAAGGCAGCATTCAATAACTCTGCCTTCTCTGTATCCTTTGTTACCAGGGCACCCGCCCCATTCAGCAGCGGGCCCACGTTTTCCCTCGTCTTCCTTTTGCTCTTGATGTATTTGAAGAACCCCTTCTTGTTGTCCTTGACATCCCTTGCCAAGTGTTCATGCACCCAAGAATTTTGACTGAACGACTGAAAGGTACACACACCCCAATAAATTTGTGAAATTCACTCCTTTAGGTAGCCATTTAACTGTTAGTCATTGAAGTATTTTAACATCAGATTACCTAAAAGCCTGAGTGAATCTCCCCCAAAGCAGTTTCCTAGAGTCTGAGCTCTGAGTGCCTACAACACCAATGGGTGGGTGAGAAGCCATGTGGGTGCTTCTTAGTACTCTCATTGAGAAAGTGGTCACAGGAATTGACATAAAAAAGTATGTTCAGACCACTGAGGAGAAGTAGTTATGGATGTCTTTCTCAAGCTTGTCAGGAAGGTGGCATTCAGTAGAGGAATTGAGGGGAGGGTAGAAGAATTGCCTGAGAACTGAGGTAGATATTTTATGAGCAATCCTAACGTTTTGGTATTGAAGGGACTGTTGTGCTTCAGTTTTCTCTTCTCAGTGTTTGTTATATATACTGTGAAATCTATGTGAAAAAGGTTACTCCTTTTGTTGTGCTTTAATCCTTTGTTTCTTTTCCTTTCTCAATCCTTCTAGACTCCATAGATGGGAAACATGCTCGAAGGACTCAGTCCAGTAGTCCCTTGGGAGAATTATTTGACCATGGACTGGATAGCTGGGCTACCTCCATTTTTTTGCTTTCTTTTTTTTCTGTCTCTTCCCGTGACAATGGGAAGACTGGAGTTTCTGTATATACAATGTATATATATTTAAGCATTGTCTTGTTTAACTTTATGTGTTCACACTGGGAAAAGTATAACACTGGAGTTCTTTTTCTTCCTTGGGGATACGATCTAAGCCAAGTGGTAAGTATTTATCATTCCTGGTTTTTTTTTGTTAGTGTTTTCAAAATATTACAGAAATAAATAGAAAAATATTGCTGAAGGCAAATATACTTGGCCAAAAGTTTGAATGTGAAATAGCGTAACGCTGAAAGTACTTCAGGAATATTTCCTGCATTTGCAACAAGGGGACATTCTCAAGCGAATTGTCAGCAGCAGAGATTCGTTGCATTACAGGGAAAAGAATGGCTTGCAGTGGTCAGGCAGCAAACACGAACTGTATTTTTTTTGTGATAGTAATGAAAATTATCTTGCTGTCTAAAACCGTAAGCAATTATCCCACGGACACTAGGTTTTGAGAAACTATGTGAATTAGTCCAGGTAGTATTTATTAACAGTTACGGTATTGTCAGTATTATACAACGCTAAACCTTCTCCATTCTGCCACCTCTTATATGGAAATGGTAGTGGAAATAAGCTTGTACCTATGCACTGGGCATACACTGTTGTCAGGTAGCTTTTACAGTTGGAAAAAGTCAAAGTCATACCTTTAGACATTTGGTTTTTGGAAATGGTGTGAACCGCATTCAGTAACATGAATTCCTTACTAGCCCACAGCCAATTGCTAGCTGACTCCCTTGACTGGCTTTCAGCCCTACCTCTGGGTGGACCTCTTCATAAACCTGACCAGAGCACCACAGTGAGTGATAGCTTCATTGCAAAAATGAGGTGGTAGTAGTTAGTAGTAGTAGCAGTAGTAGCAGTAGAAGCAGCAATAGCAGTAGTAGTAGCCTCATTGCACAAACAGACAAGGGCCCAGCCCTAGGATTTCTGCACTAGTGGGCTTCTTAGATAGCCAGGCTTTTGCTGCCTGAAGAGGACAGTCCCAGTCTCCTGAGTTTCCTGTCACAGGCATGAGGTGAAAGGTGGAGCCAAATATATGTAATTGAAAGGAAGTTTGACAAATATTCAAGTATGTGTTTTAATAGAAAAAGAGTATTTGAATCGATGGCCGCAGATGTATTGTTGTAAACATAATCACAATCCAGTGGTTTGAGAACAACTTGGAGATGTTGGTCCAGCTGTGGTGCATCTGTTTCATCCCTTAGAAAATAGGTCCTGGGAGAAGAAGTTGGCTCGGGGCTAAGACATTAGGCAGCCAGCTGCTCTGGAAGTTTCAGCCCTGTCTGCGTAAAGCTTCTTAGTGAGGTTCTTTCAGC